CTCTGCCATAGGTCCTAAACTATTTTTTTACTAAACTTTTTTTTTTTACTTTATTTGTTTATTGTGAGAGAGAGAGGGGGGGGAAGAGAATCCTAAGCAGGCTCTGCGCTGACAGTGCAGCCCCTATGTGGGGCTCGAACTCATGAACTGCAAGATCATGACCTAAGCTGAAACCAAGAGTCAGATGTCTAACCAACTGAGCTACCCAGGCGCCCCAGGTCCTAAACTATTTTTTAAATTGAGATGTAACTCACATACTATAACATTCCCCATTTAAAGTGTATGGTTCAATCCTTTTTAGTATATTCATAAGGTTGTACAACCATCACCACTATCTAATTCCAGAACATTTTCATTACCCCAAAAAGAAACCCCACACCCATTAATAGTCACTTCCCATTTCTCCCACACCCTAGCCTATGGCAACCACTAATCTGCTTTCTGTCTCTATGGGTTTGCTTACTCTGGATATTTCATATAAATAGAATCCTACAACATGTGGTCTTTGGGGACTGGTTTCATCATGTTTTCAAGGGTCATCCATGTTGAGGTATGTATTAGTGCTTCTCTCCTTTAATGGCTGAATGGTTCCTAAACTACTTTCCTAGCCCCATTTCTCATTTTTCTTCACTCAAACCCTAAGGTTGAGCTGCACTGGATTACTTGTCCTTCTCCATACTCTGCTTTTGTTTTCTTTCTTTCTTTCTTTCTTTCTTTCTTTCTTTCTTTCTTTCTTTCTTTCTTTTTAATGTTTATTTTTAAGAGAGAGAGCGCCAGCAGAGGAGTGGGACGGGGAGGGGCAGAGAGAGAGGGAGACACAGAATCCAAAGCAGGCTCCAGGCTCCAAGCTGTCAGCACAGAGCATGATGCGGGGCTTGAACCCACAAACTGTGAGATCATGATCTGAGCGAAGTCGGGCGCTCATCCAGCTGAGCCACCCAGGCGCCCCTTTTGTTTCATTTCCTGCCCCTCCTCAGACCTCTCTCTGTGCATTCACACCTCTCACAAATGTCACCTCTTCACAAAGTGCCCTGAGTGTTCTCCCTCCCCCCACAAAGGGTCCCATTTTTCCTCCCCATGCTCCTTTTTTTATTTCAACCGATGATGCTTATTTTTTCTATATATTTACTTAACTTTAACCCTCCTACTCCACTGTGATTGCCATGAAGGCACTACTTTTTAAAATCCCTTTCCCACAGCTTCAAATGTAACAAGTGCTCATCAAATATTTGCTAACTTGCATGGCATTGGTATAACCCAGTGGTTCTAAACTGGGGACAGTTTTGTTCCCCAGGGGACATTTAGCAATATCTGGAGAGCTTTTTGGTTGCCCTAACTAGGAGGTGAGGTGTGCTACTGACATCTGGTAGATAGAGGTCAGGGTTGCTGCTAAGCAGCTTCCAATGCACAGGGTAGTCCCCTACGCACCGCCCCCTCCCCCTCTAACACACACACCAAAAAAATTATCTGGCCTTAAATGTCAATAGTGGCAAAGTTGAGAAACATTGCCACAAACTAATTAATGCTCCTTTTGAATAGGTTAGCAAAAAGAAGTTAGGAGAGATCAGTGTATGACTTTGGCAGAAAATCTTATTAAAGAATTTTTTTTCTTTTTTTAGGAGCTGAGGGTAACTCCAGTGCAAACCTCTTTCCTAATGCCATAGTAGGTGCCCTGGGAACACAGATGGTATTTTCACCACTTGTTCGCCTTTGAGAGTGACAACTGACCTCCCAGGAATCTTTGAAGTGCTAGGAATGTAATTCTGTTAAGGAAGAAAACTCTTAGGGATTTTTAAATCTATCAAAATGTCAAAAGTGAATAGTACATCTGGGGGAGGGCAGAGGAAGGTGTTTTTTTAAACTACCCTCTTCTGGGGGTGCCTGAGTGGCTTAGTCGGTCAAGCATCTGACTTTGGCTCAGGTCATGATCTTGGGGTCTGTGAGTTTGAGCCCCGCACTGGGCTCTGTTCTGATAGCTCAGAGCCTGGAACCTGTTTCAGATTCTGTGTCTCCCTCTCTCTCTCTGCTCCTTCCCCACTTGCGCTCTCTCTCTCTCTCTCTCTCTCAAAAATAAATAAACATTAAAAAAAATTTAAAGTATCTTCTTCTGGCTTCCCCATGATGGTGAAACTTTTCAGATCTATCTCTGGAATAAATGATTCAAGGGAACCTGAGGCCTTGTCTCCTCTCCTTTCTAAAAACTGCAAAGGAGTTTTGAGAAAGGATTCTGTTCACATTGTGCTCCAGTGAGCAACTCACTTGCAGGAAACTCATTTGCAGGAAACTCAAGGCACCCGTATCATTTAACTGAACACAGCAGCCCCATCAGAGCACAGGTTACCAGCTTCAGAGGCACTCATCTCATCCAACCGGTTCTTGTGAGTGACACAGAAATTAGATAATATATGCTCTGAAAATGAAAGGTAGGACAGTCTGAAGGAGTTTGACGAGGCAAGGAATAGTGGTTGACGTGCTATTTTAAAAAGTTTGTCCTTGGGGTAGAATTACCTGACAGCCCGGCTGGGATTTGGTAGTGGTGTGTGTGGTTGAAAGAACAACCTTTAGCACAGCTGGCATAGACATAAATGCCAAGCAGAGGATCCACAAGACTCTACCCCCTCTTCTGGACGTGCTCCAATTCTTGTGGGCCATAAAGAATAGTAAGGCGGGACTGCGTTCTTGGAATCGCCATATCTTTTATCCAGCAAATGAACTTTTATTTAGTCTGCATAGTTGACAAAATGCCCTTGCTATGTGAAGTGATTTATTCAGTCCAATTTTTATGAAAACCCTTAAGGACAGAAACATATAGAGTACTTGGCACACCGAAACACAGAAGTGTTTAATGATGACAGTAATTAGGATAATGCAACAATGTGCTTTGATTGAATGTTTGGCAGGACTTTAGATATATTAAGAATCACTTAAATATATATATTGTATATTTTTTATATTTTATATATAAATATATAAAAATATATATATTATATTTTAAGCATATATAAAATATTTATATATATAAAAGATATATGTATATCTTTTATATATATATAAAGATAAATATATATAAAGATAGGTATATATAAAGATATATAAAAAAGAATCACTTAAAGAATGAAATGGGAGTCCCCAGAGTAACTGCAGTTCTGTCAAAAGTGAATCGGAAGAAGACCAACGCATCTGAGTGATATTTATGTTTTAATAAAATTAAAAATTATTCCAAATTGGATCACTTGCCTCAAATCTCAATTTTCTTTTGTAACCACCCTTCAATCATTCTTGTATTCAATGTTATTTTTTATATTATTTATGGTTTCTATTCAATTATTTCCTCTTTTATTCAACATGCAATTACAAACTCCCTACCATGTGCCAGGCTTTACATTGGATTCTAATAATACAATGGCAAATGATTCTTGCCCTTGAAATTTTAGCAAATAGAACCATTCATTCTTTCATTCATTTACTGAAGTATCCACTGTGTGCGCATACATTCTGGGTATACAGCAACAAAGAACATAGGACCCTGAGATAATAAAATTACATTCTAGTGAGTAGAAGGAAGAGCAAGAGCAAAGGTCCTGAAGCAGCTGTGAGCATGGCTAGAGCCCAGCTAGTGAAGGGGACACGGCACCAAATGGGATGAAGAGGTACCCAGAGCTAGATTATGTATGGTATGGTATATAATCTGGCATGGTATGTAATCTGTACGTGCATACACACATACAAACATATTGCACATATTGGGTGAGCTAACCTTTCCATTAGATTACAAACTCACCGGTAAATTTAGTTATTTAACCTAAATAATTTCAGAAGAAGTGTGTTAATAGTCAAACTTTGGAGAAGGCTACTGTGCTGTTTTTATTAGGGGTGGGCTGAGAGCTTGATAGAAAAAGTAAAAGAACTGCCTTTCTTGCCAAGGGCTGTCCTTCTGAAGAGAAGAGGTAGCAGCCATAGGAGAGAGGAGAGACCTCATCTTTCCAAGTCTTTGGCACTGCACCTCTTCTGGGCAACTCAAGCTAGAGGTCAGAAGACCTGCTCATACAGGTGGGCCCTCAAGATAATTAAGATTTGGGGCAAAGAAGTTTGGGGCTTGGAATTTTTTTATTACCAAATTGGCAGAACCATTTGCAAAGTCTGAAACACTTCTATATAGCCATATCTACAGTGACCATTTTTGTATCTACATCACTGTCTTCTCATTCAACCCCTAGTCTAATAAGGACAGTAACATCTCCCCGAATTTTCCTAAATAATATGCAAAACGGCTCTTATTTCCAGATTTCTGCCTCTTAACCCTTCCAGTATATAAATTCTGGAGATGTCACTAGAGTAGTATTATGTGACCTGACTCTAGTTTCTTTTGGATTTTTCTTTTAAGGGATGGTGGCGTTATTTAAAACAATAGCCTTTAAAATACGTGGTTAAAACAGGGAGGAAACTTTCAAACAGCCCATCTGTAATTCTCAGTAAATGAATTTAGGTCCCGCGTCTGGGGAATCCTCAAACGTCCTGGATGGTAGGCAGGGAAGTAAACAGAGACTACAACTCCCAGGAGACATTGTGTCCACTCCCTCTGCGCACGCTCGACCCCAAAGGCAGCCTGAGGCACGGGGCCCGAGAGGGCGTGGCTTGGGCCCGAGCCGCGAGCCGTGGGCGGGGCTATAGGCGTGGCCACGGGGGGGGCGGCGCTGCCGGCGCGGCCCGGAACACGCTAGTGGAGCGGAAGATGGCGGCGGCAGCGGTGGCTGCAGCCGGGACCCCAGTCGGGCTGAGGCGGAGGAGCCGCCGGCTCTGACCTCGCTCTGGCTCCGGTGCGCGCGGCGCAGCGTGTGCGAGGCCCCGCGCGTCGGACAGGGGCGGCGCCGGCGGCTGTGCGCCGCCCTGAGGAGCGCTCCGGCAGCGGCGCTGCTGCGGCTGAAGAGAGAGCCGGCTCCGGGCCTCCGCGTCCTCCTGCTCCCCGGGCCCCCCGCCTCCTCGGGGGGGCGGCGGCGGCGATGTTCTCGGTCCTCTCGTACGGGCGGCTGGTGGCCCGCGCCGTCCTCGGCGGCCTCTCGCAGACCGACCCCAGGGCCGGTGGCGGCGGCGGCGGTGACTACGGGCTGGTGACGGCCGGCTGCGGCTTCGGCAAAGACTTCCGTAAGGGCCTTCTCAAGAAGGGCGCGTGCTACGGGGACGACGCGTGCTTCGTGGCCCGGCACCGCTCAGCAGACGTGCTCGGTGAGTCCCCGGCTCGGGTCCCCCCGTCTCAGCCCCGGATCCGCCTCCTGGGGACTTCCCTGCTCCGGGCTTTCCCCAGTTCTCCGGGCGGTGAGAGGAGCCCGAGAGCCAGTAGTAGCTGCAGGGAGGGAGCGCTTACTATGTGCCAGGCGCGATGCCAAGCGCTCCAAGGTGCGTTTTCCGTTGGAACAACCCCCATTTCAGAGATGAGGAAACTGAGCCGCAGAGCGGTCGAGCTCTGTGCTCAAGGTCACCCAGCCTGAGATGTGACCAGTTTGTCCGAGTCCAGAACCGCACTGTTAGTCACTTGGCTCTGCTAGTCCCGACGACCTCGTCCCTTCCCCCGGAGACACCTGCAGACTCCTAACCTCGCTCTTGTTCCCTCCCTGCCTCCTCCCTCTGCGTGCGCCGGAGATCTCTGATTCTTCGCGTACTCCTGACGCCGCAGCCTGTCCACGGGCTGCGGGATCCAGAGCGGACTGTCGCGAGCCCCAGACAGCCCGGCCGCATTCTTTGACCGCCTCGATGGTGACCAGATCTCCATCCTTTTCGGAGTCTCGCAGGCGGTGGCGGTGGCGCTGGCCTGGTGAAAAAACACTCGCAGTACCTTCTCCCAAACTGATCTTGCCCGCTTGAGGTCACTTGGGGTGGAAGAGAATCTCCTTGACCCAAAATAGAATGGTCGAACCTTCTTCAAACTGCAGCCAAGAAAGCCTTGAGAAATTGGTTCAAGCCTTTTCAGGCCACAGGTGCTTCCGAAGGGCCTGTTCCAGTTACACCTTTGGGGACGGGAGACTAGCGTGAGAACTTACAGAAAGGGCTAGATATAATTCACAAGCAATCAGAAAGTTTGTCATAACGTACATCTTTGGAGACAATGTGTATGCTGTAGAATTGTATGCCATTGAATCTCCTTTAATGAGTAAAGCACTTCCTTTGAAACTGAAGGACATGCTGTCATTGAATTGGGTTCAAATGTCACTTTGGTTTCACTTCCCAGGTGAGATTGAGTTTTTGATTACTTTAAATTTCATATGCTGGGGCAAAGTTTGGCGTTGGAACAAATGGTCCTGTAACTTTTTATGACAATAATTATTTTTTAATTTGATCTCAGAATAACTGCTTATTATCTTTGTTTCTACTACATGTAGTGTTTGTGAACATGGTATAGAAAGGTTGTTCTCATTTTAATTTATGAATGACCCCATTACCTGGGTAGAAAAAATCATTTAGTGTTTAGGCAACTCTTGATGTTAACTGTAAGAGGGTGGGAGAGGGTTCCTTAGGTGAAGGAGCTTGTAGATATCCTACAACTCCACTTTGAAGTCGGCTTGACCCTGATTCCGTGTATTTTTTTTAAAGGGCTGTCAGGAGCTGTCTTTTTCCATTACATTTAGAAGCTTCATTTAATGAGCTTGTGACCTGTGCTGCTTTTTCAAATTGCACTCATAGTGCAACAGGATAGGTGACAATGAGCCACTAAGGTTCCCCCTTGTAAATCTATGTAGTGGCTTTTGTGAAATATTTGCAATTTGATTGATGATTTGGGGACATTTTAATGAGCCAAATCCCTGTACTTAAGCTTGATTTAAAATTTTTGAAAGGGGCGCCTGGGTGTCTCAGTCAGTTGAGTGTCTGACTTTGGCTCAGGTCATGATCTCGTGGATCTGTGAGTTCAAGCCCCACATTGGGCTCTGTGCTGACAGCTCAGAGCCTGGAGCCTGTTTCCGATTCTGTGTCTCCCTCTCTCTCTGCCCCTCCCCCACTCATGCCCTGTCTCTGTGTGTGTGTGTGTGTGTGTGTGTGTGTGTGTGTCTCTGTCAAAAATAAACATTAAAAAAAAATTTTTTTTTGAAGGCTACTTTCTTAATGAAGTGGGGGTATTTCTAAGGATGGGGGAATTTTGGTCAAACCCATTTTGAAAGATAAATCTATCATCTTGGCAGAAACCGTGCCTAATTTGGTGCTGAGCCTTGCCAGACTGGCTCTGTGATCTGTGATTTTGGGCAAGAGCCTCTCGACTCATTTTCCTCATCTAAACTAGAGGATGGACTACCACTAGAGAGTGGACTATGTGACCCTTAGGGACTTCTGACCATCAGATCATATTTTCTTTTTGTTTTGAAAAGACGGCACCCTTTGCTATTTTGCATCTGAAGTAACGGGCATTACTTCCTATCTTATTCACATGGGTACCTTCAGTATATTTCTTCTGTTTTATGTTTGGTGCTAAAGCAGTGGTTCTTAACTATCCTTGTTTCACAGTCTCAAGATTTTTGAGTGCCCAAGGGCTCTCTCTCCAGAAAAATGTGCATGGAGGCAAAATTTTGTACAGGCATTCAAGGACTTCACTAACCCCATGAAGTCCCATCTGTGTGCGACCTAGAGGTGCATGCACGGGGACCAGATTAGGAACTGCAGCTCTGTACCCCTTCCAAAAGGGAGGCTGCCAGGCATAACCAAACACGTGTGGCTTATGTCACCTAGGGGTGGTCTTTGGCCATATTTGACAAAGAGCCATTTTAAGAGAGAGAGAGACTGAGTGTGTGTGTGTTTGGCGTACAAATCAGGGAAGACAGGTTCTCTTGGACTGTCCTGTTTTGGAGGAGCTCTTCCAGAGAGTCATCTTGGGAGCCACCGGAAACAACTGAGTTGGCCTCCTTTCTTTGGCTTCCACTTTGTGTGATGGTTACTTCTATTTTATTGACACCATCCCCTCACAGGCAGCTCTGGTTATCTCTGGCTGTGAGAGAGGCGAAGCATCTCAGCACATCTTTAGTAGTGCTTTTTCTCTAGAAGTTGGAGTTCTAAACTGAAATGTGTTAAAAGACTGTTGAATGATGTTATGTTGAACCTCAGTGCTTCAAACCTTCTAGTTCTACAGATAATTCATTTTCTTTGGGTTGACACCATTTGTTGCTAAGTATATGTGCAACTCACTGTGGTCATTTAGAACTCCTTGACTGTTTGGAATAAAAGCTGTTTGTTTCTTTTTGTATTAGAAAGAGAAAACTGTTGTTTTTCTTTAATTTAGAATTGATCTTTTCTATTAGTCATGCAGTGACTAAAAGTACCTGGTGCATTACAACATTTTGTAGAGTCCCCACTGGATTTCTTTTAGGAAAAACCGACTATGGTGGGTGTGGTGAGACATAGGAACCACTCCTATCCCTTGGAAAATTGGCAAAGGTGCTTTCTCTTTATTAGGTCCAACAGGAGGAAACCAGTACCAGCAGGGGCTATATGTGCACTTTTCTTTTTTCTTCTTCCTTGTGGCTAATCCTGAGTTCTTTCATTACTCTATGTGGCATGGATGCCTAAGTACACAAAAATACGAGAGCTGCCTAGTGTGTAACTGCTAGGCCTCCCACAGCCCTAAGCTACTTAACCATAGAATCCAAGACTGTTGAGAGTTGTAAGACTTAGAAACCTTGGAGACCAGTGAGAAGATGGACGCCTACAGAGGGTCAAATGATTTTGCTTAGGTTACTCCACTAGTTAATAGCAGCACTAGGACTAGCACCCAGACTCCCCATTCCTGTCCTCTTTCCGTTGCATCACTAGTTAGATTTTCTTGAAAAGATAGGTGAATTCAAAACCAGTCTGTCTTTAGGTACTGTTTGTCCTTTCAATGCTTTTCTGCTTAAGGGTGTGTGTGTGTGTATTTACAACTTCTGCATTCACACTATGACTCATAATTAAAATGCAACAAAAACTCCTCTGCATACTAAAGCACAGTTAACTGAAACCACTTCTTTACAAATGGCAGCATGGTCTCTGCCATCTAAAATCTGACCTCTGAAAATTGAGTATTTATAATGTAATTCTTAAAAAACTGCAGGATATTTATTTAAGCTAGACTTAAACCTTAAAGAGAAATGAAAACAATGTCATATTCTAGCCTTTAGGTATGATTTTGATCGTGGCCAGGATTTCTGAAGTGTTTTTGTAAGTAATGGCAGTCTTAAAAGTAGTTGTCTTTAAAGTGTAAGGATTATGTGAACAATATAAACATTAAAAGTGTATTTAGGAAGTGAATACATTAGGTAGAATTTTATGTTTTCCAACAGTCATGATAATTTTAATGTATTTGATTGAACTTCTGTACCCAAAAGTGAGTTATCCTTTTAGTAGCAAAGTAGTCACCCTGGGAGAGTGTGTATGTATGCTAATTTAAGCCTCTGAAGAAGTCCTCTTTGAAACTTGCCTCAGCTAAAATTTACGCTGTATCAGGAAACTAGTGTTATTACTATATAGTCATAATTTTCTGAAAGCCAAATTTTAGCCTGATCTACATCTTGACAGCAGACATGACCTTGGTTGAATTTTAAAAAATTGAGGTATAGAATTCATCTGCCATAACATTTACCTTTTATAATTAAAAAATTTGGGGGGCACCTGGGTGGCTCAGTCAGTTGAGTATCCCACTCTTGGTTTTGGCTCAGGTCATGATCTCATGGTTTTTTGGGGTCGAGCCCCACATCAGGCTCTGTGCTGGCAGCTCAGAGCCTGCTTGGGATTCTCTCTCTCCCTCTCTCTCTCTCTGCCCCTACCCTGCACATGCTGTCTCTGTCTCTCAAAAATAAATAAATAAAACTTAAAAAAAATTAGTACATTTAGTACTAAATTTAGTATTTAGTACATTCACAAGATTGTTCAGCTGCCACCACTGACTAGTTCCAGAACATGTTCATCCCCACACAAAAAAAAAACCCCTGTGCATTAGCAGTCACTCCCCGTCTCCCCTCCCTCAACCCCTGGCAACAGAAAGTAGATTCTGACAATAGATTTGCCTATTCTGGACATCTCATATAAATGGAATCATACAAAATGTGGCCTTTTGTATCTAGCTTTTTTCACTTAGTATATTTTCAAAATCTGCTCACATTTAGTTTGTATCAGTGCTTCATTCCTTTTAATGGCTGAATAATATTCTGTTATATGGAAGGACCGCATTTGTTTATCCATTCATCTATTAATGGACATTGGGTTGTTTCTAC